ATGGAAAGTAGCCTGCTGTCTAATATGCTGTAGAAAATCAGGAATTTGGAAAACAAATAAGAATCTGAAACCACTCAAGAGAGAAGAAGATTTGCTTTTTTCCAAAACTTCATTTCAAATATTATTCTTCCAACTGGAAACTAAAGAGTAAAAAAAAAAATTAAAAAAAATGAAAGCAGCTTTGCAGACCATAAAGTCCTTAACATAGAGAACACAGAAGCTAAATTTCTAACCTTTCATGTGGTTCACTTCACATTAACATTGGTGTTAATAATACTCCTTATGGAACATAACACTTGTCACATAATATTACTGTGTATGTATGTTGACCATAGGAAATTCCATCAAGGCATGAAATGTATATTTCTGGATAGACTAGGTTTTCTTGGAAAAAAGTCACAATTTATGTTTGATAAGAAGACCATAAGCAGGTGGAAGTATCATAAAAAATTAGGAATCCTTTGTAATGGTAAATTTTTTCCAATTGGGATTGATTTAAGAACACCTTTATCATGTGTGATGAAGAAATGTGTCATTTAAAATTAGTGGAGGTGACAAATAACACTTTAGAGAATCAATCATTAAAAGCGGAAGTTATTCTGCATACCCAAAGGGTTTGTTCACGCTCTCTCCCCCCTGCCCCCCTTCATTCCTTTGCTTTCTGCTTCTTTTCTGTTTCTCTTTCTTTTTCTCTTGCTCTTTTGCTTTCTCTTTCTCCTTCATACCCTCCCTCCCCTCCTCCTCCCTTGAATAACAACCCTGAATGACAAGGTCTATGCCCACACAAAGTCAAATTCCAGCCACTAAAAGAAATAGGTATTTATTTCTAAGAGATAATTGTACATCATATCTACTAATATATTTATGATTAGAAATAAACTACACATCATACTTTAAGCTTTATGCATGTTAACAGAAAATTTCCTATCTGCCAGATTCATTGCTGAATAACACAGGACCAGCAAAATAGTGCCTCTTAATAGCACATGTCAGAATAAAGCCAATACAAAACCCTGGCATGTGGAGCTTCAAACCGGAAGGAAAAAACCCAAATGTGCTCTAGCAGAGCGTTACATCTTTCGTTACAAAGCTATAAACAAAGTTGCAAAGATGGAAAATAAAACAAAACAAACACAGTCGCAGTTACAGGTTCTCCCTTATCTACTCCAAAGTATCAGTTGCTGTCAAACATCTCGTCCCTGGTCTATTCTTCCACTGTCTTTTCATCATAAATGAGGTTTTTCTATCCTGGCACCAGAGATGGCTGACTGAAAACGAATTCAACTATATACAAGACTATTGCTTTCATTTATAAACATGTATCATGAGAATCATTAATTGTATGTATAACTTACAAATTCACTACCTCTGGTTTATTTTTCAGTGCTGCGGGTGTCATAAGTGACATATTAAATAAAGCTCACAGCAAAGATATCATACAGAATGCTGCCTTGCACTGTTCCAAACCTCAGTGTAGTTTGTTGATTTTAAAGGTCTACGCTGATCCTACTTTGTGCCAAAAGTACATCGTTTCCTATTTCCTTCATCAAGGCTACATTCTAGCAACCTAAACTTTTTCACTTTACTAGGATTAAAATAATCATGTAAGCTCATATTTTGCTTCTTTGGTGTGTTGGGAAGGAGTTGATGTCTGTACACTGCCTGATCTGCGTTTATTTTCTCCCCGTCTTGTGCAACTTTCTTTCTCTGAATCTAAAACTTTCATGTTGTGAGCAGAGAGCTTTTACTGTAGGACTCTAAGCTGGTGCTATATTTGGGTGGTTGCATTTTCCAAGTGATTATCCTATCATAAACTATTCTGATAGCATATTTTTCCTGTTAGGAAAGCTTTTAGCTCTTCTGCTTGTAGCTACTTGGACTCAAGCAAATTATATTCTCCCAAACTATTATTCTATTAGCCTTCAAAAGGAACAAGACACATTGCACCTACTTCATTTGATGCTGTTCTCTCAAAAGCAACCATATCCATACTACTGTATTGGACACAAGGCCTGTAACAACAGTATTCTACAAATTCAGTCTTAACTGCAAATATTTCTGCAACTTCAAACTTCCTTTATTCCAGGAGATAAGCTGGATATTTCTGTAAATTTCAGGAGATGACATCTATATCTTTCAGATACCTTGCCTCTAATACAAATAGTTCTGTGTTGTTCTGCTCAGAGATGTGTTGCTTCCCAAATAGGCACAAATAGTAACATAGCTTTGTTTTTGAAACCGTTACACTGTAGTGTAGTTTTCCAAGCACTTGACAAGTTAATCTTAGGATTAATAACTCTAAAAAGATATTTCTCAATTGTGTGTCTATTAAATTCTTCCATAATCATTAAATAATGACGAAATCTACTTGTGTAAATATAATCATGTCATAAGATCTTTTAAAGACTTCAGAATTATTTTTTACTGAAGAAATGAGATTGGCTATGATGCATGAGTTTATTTTTTATTATCTACTGCTCTGTAACTTTTTTTAGCTTCAATAAAGCATTATATTTAACAAAATCTATTCTGACAGGCACTATGGATATGCTTCTTCGTAAGGTTTCCTTTCAAATGTATGTGTGAACTACGCATTGTTTTACCAGAGGCTACCCAATCTCTTTCCTCTGAGACTGTGCAGTTAATATACAGGATACAAAACTTTTATAAGAGTTCATTCTCTGGTTAGCATTTTATAGATACTGCCCAAACACAGGATTAATCTCTTCTTAGCTGTTCTGGGAAATCTCCGGATGCTGCTTTACTGTACCTTCATTTCTTTTGTGAAAACCTTACTTTACATTTTATTTTACATTCTATTTTCTTTTATGAAGGCCTCACCTTTTTTTCAGATCTTACTTCAACTTCTTTTGCTAAGTTTAACACTGTTTCAACTCTTTTTTTACCTCCTTTGGTGATCTCTGATTCCTGCAGGTGTGTTCTTTATTTGTTTTATCTTGAATCAAGACAACTGTCAGCTTGCAGATCCCCTTGTACAACACTATTATTACTCTTGACACAATTTGCTATTACTTGGAATCTTGCAGATGAATAAGAGCTGAGTAATGTCTTTGATATGATTTAAAGTTAATGAAGAAATAGTGCATTCATAGTGCCTGTTCTCCCCAAATAAGGTAGGGGACAAAGACCAAAAGGCAAGTTACTTACTTGCTTCCTTGCTCTTTACATTCAATACTTCTTCCTCTGAACTTTAACTCTAAAAGTCTCATTCTAGATTTATCATTGCTTTTCATCTGTTTTCTCTGGTGTTTATGCTGCTTCTCTGATTTACACATAAACAAAATAATTAGTAAAATATCCTCATCTCTCTCTCTGACTCACCCAGAGAAGTTGCGGATGCCCCCTCTCTGGAAGCGTTCAAGGCCAGGTTGGATGGGGCTTTGAGCACCCTGTTCTAGTAGAAGGTGTCCCTGCCCATCACAGGGGGGTTGGAACTAGATGATTTATAAGGTCCCTGCCAACCCAAACCATTCTATGATTCTATGATTCCTACAATTTTGGCAATTCTATGGGCACTTAGATTTCTGGGGCATATTTCAAATGCTTGGTAAGTTTGCATGCAGCTTAATCAAGGATTCTAAACTATCACTAAGATTCAATTTTCCCCAAACTAAACCTAAACTGAAGGTGGTTTTCACCCTTTAATAGTAAAAGGTTTATATATCAGAAAATAGGAGATGCCAAAAAGAGCAGCAGGGCTGAAGTTCATCCCTTCTGGCACTTACATGTCTGCAGAACATATTCAGCAATATAAGAAGCCACAATAGAAATAGGGTGGAAAAAAATGGTATATGGATTAAAACTAGATTCTTAACAATTAACTCTTCAAAGACAGAATGAATAGAATCATAATTTCAGCAGTATTAACAAAATAATGAAAATCATAAAGATATTATTAAAGTTGCAGTAAATATCTACAACATACGGGGAAAACTATATATGGTAATACTAGAGAACTCTTTATCCAAGATATTCCAGGAAAGTTTATTTCTTCACCTCCCTCACCATGTGCTTGATTTAAAGTACTGGACACAGTTTACCCCATAAAATGATTTAGTATATACTATTAACACAGATAAAATCAGTACCAAGTGTAAGACCTATTTGAGAAAAACATAAAACATATTCACATCAATCACAAAGTGATAAATTCTTCTTAAAAGTAAGGTCAAAATAATTATTGTTCTTGCAAAGAAGTCAGCTGAATGTTCTTACGATATTAAGTAGGATCATTGGGCAATATTCACAGTCTTTGCATCACACCTTTTTTTATTCCCACCTATTCTGAAATCCTCAGCTCATGTCCTTCAAAAATCACTGCAGTCAGTGGGAACTTAGCACCTCAGTGCATGCTGAGTCCCATTCTGTGGATTCTAGCAGCCAAACTAATGCCTGTAGTTAGCTTCTAATCTTGCAATTAAAGTTTTGTACCTAGTCAAGAACACCTGACCTGGAAATACTTGCAGGATTGGAATTGCTCTGCAAAACCATATTCCACAAGGTTAGTTCAGTATTTATTTTGTCTGTGGAATATACATGACATGTTATGGAATCTTTCCTCCTCTTTTAAGAATCTTAGTGATTAGCCCTCTCAGTACAGAAGCTTTATTCCCATTTGCTAATGCAAGCCTTGTACTGCTAGCACCTCATTCTCTAAAGAGATCAACATTTTAACAATATTTTATAAATTAAAGTGCAGTGAAAAGTACTTCTTGTTGTTGTTTTTGAACATATGGAAGGCAGCATGTAAGATAAATATAACATATGAAAACATCTAACTTTTTATAAAGTAACTATCTTTTTCTGTTCAGAGAATTCAATGAAATCTATAAACGTTGATAAAATATTCCCCAGGTGGGAAAAAGAATGATAAAAAATGTTAGCAATGTAGATAAAATAACAGTGTTTCAGAGCTTCTCTATGGTACTGCAGCAACTAAGATTAATGAACAGAGAACATATGGTTGACATATCACTTACCCATGGGAGTTCCAACGCCGTAACCTTTTGAGTCTATCAGGCCTCCAATCTGTGTTAGGTTACAGTTCCGCTGTGTGACAAACTCAATGGTTGTCGACTCCATTAAAAATGCATAATCAGAGGTAAGCACACGCTGGATACCTTCTTCATTACTTTTGACAAGTACTGACTGCCTCCTGCTACTCATGAAAGCCCACATTTTGTCATAAGTGGAGATTTTGGATTTCTGAAAGACAAATATTAGATGCAAAGTGAGTCAGAATAACATGCTTATGAGAATAAAAGCAAATTCTCAGTTTACACATTGCTCTCTTGTCATATTTCATTATGTGTCAGGTTTTACCCAGGCATTCTTCTAAGGGTGCCCATACCTCTCACCTCATCTGTGCCTCTCATCTTGTCTGTGTAAAACAAAACAGGTGGACAGATTCTCAAGAAAATGTGCAGTATCTGTTGTTTATCTGGTTTTTATTGTTTATGAGTTTTTATGTAGGATGAAGGCCTAAAAGTATTTGAAGTCACTGGAAAACTATAAAGCATTTCACTGTAGCCAAGTTCATCGACAATATTGGTGAGTGTTACAGGAGATTGTGTGGATTCTGGCACATTTTAAATTTTCACTCTTATTTCAATCACTCAGCTTCTCCTGAGCACTTCTGAAAAACTAATGCACAGTGTGGCAACCTGAAACTAACAAAACACTTGCAGATGGCAGTATATGGAGAAAACAGTTGTGAGGGAGAGGGCAGCAAACATTTTATCCCCGGTACACTGCAAAAATGCTTGAAGAAAGATTTTAGGTAAGAGACAGTACCATGCTGTGGTCACACTAATATTAGCTTGCCATTCAGAAACTGACTACTAAAAGTCCTAAAAATGTATATGTGTTTTCTGCTTTAATATTCCCAGAAGGCAAAAAACTGTTGTGATAGGAAGAGAGAGACAGTCGTCTGGGACAAAGGAGGCAGTAGTTTGGCACAAAGTGGTGTTGTGCAACTATAAATGAGTCCCTTTCTTTCACCTCAGCTTCTTTAAAAAAAGCTTTTTTATCTTTAAAAAAGATATTACCTTCTCTCATCTTTGTAAAACACAGTGCTTAAGAGATCATAACCACTGGATATAAATTGAAGGTATTAGAAGCACTAAACATTTCTATTACATTTCCCCATATGTTTACAATGTTTCAGACTCAAGCTGTATCAGAAAATGTTCAATAATGTTAAATCTTGCCTAGTAAATAAAATCTAGAAATACAGCACGAAAACTAGTACAATCAGACTTTTTAAGGAGTCTGTCATCTTTTAATGTTAGCCATAAACATAACTCTGCCATCAGCTCTGGTGGAGATACTAAACAAAGATTGACATGACAAACCTTTCTGAAGTTCACCTGATTGACAGCCATAAACTCTGCCCCAGAGGAGAACTAACAGTGTATGTGGAAAAAAAAGAACATTTATTTAGAAAAAAGATGACTTTGTCCCGCTGCTGAGGTACAATCCGAGAGTTATTTCACTCTGCTAGGGGACTTAGCAAATCAACCATTTGAACTAACTCTAATGTCAATGCTAACAAAACTGAAGACTTTTAGGACTCTGCATGAACATGTTGTTACTGTTCTGAATATAGTCTGTGGCTGATTGCAACAGAATTTGGTGACACTGAAAGGGGAAATAATTTTTCTTCAGAATACATTGTTAATGCATTGAATAGAGAAGACCAAACAGATTGATTTCTGCTCATAGGGTTTGTTTAGAAAATCAAATAATTCTTGCAACCATTCAATGTTTCAGTGTAGCATAACATACTTTAAGCAACACACATCAGCTCTGTAGGAATCTAAATTCCTATGTAATACAAAAAGGAAGGAAAATGAATGTTTTTCAACATTTGTAAAATTTTATCAAGAACCTTTTGACATACAATCTTTACCCCAGTACACAAAACAAATATTTTAGCTGCTATAAGTAATCTGAGCAGTATAAAAAATTGGCATAGAAAACAAATTTAGTAAACTGTTAGATACACATTACTGATGCATATTGAGGGGACAAAAAAAGGAAAAAGTCAAATGAGATACAATAGAAAATAAAGCAAGAATAAACTGTAATAATTACTCATTTCTGTATTACTGCTGAGAAAACAAAAAAGTTCCAGGATGAAAACATGTTAGCAAGGGGAATGGTTGCTCTCTACTGAAGCCTTAGAGCATATGAAAAAATACAATATCCTCTAAAGGACAGAGTGCTTGTATTATGATTACTGATTTAATCAACTAGAATGAAGCCACAGCAACTATTGAAAAAGAAGGAACAAAGACCACAAACAAAATCAGAAAAAGGTCCTGCATAGGATAGCTTGCTTACCAGAATAATTACAACAAACAAAAGTTAAAAAGCCTACACGTGATTAGTGAGACTGCAGAAGATAATACAAAACCTAGAACATGAGTGTATATGGCTCACCAATGTGAAGCTAACAAGGGTTGTAGAAAGTGCACAGTAATTTCTCAGTTTTCTCATATAGGCAGAACACTATAATGTCTTTGCACCGCTTTCTTATACCCCTAAAAGCTAGAAGTCAGAATTGAAATGATGCCAGGGAAAACAGCCCATCTACTTTGATCCCTAAATTCTACCTAGTGTTTAGAAATTCTTACAAAAACAAAAAGTGTGTAGTACAGGTCATTGGATTTGTTTTACAGACAACAATTTTTTATCTGAAAATAAAAACCCAAAATTTGATTCAGGAAAATACGGCCAGGAATGGTTTTCCTCTGTGTCTGGCAAACATTTGACTAATAATGAAGAAGCCAGAACAATCAAAAGCATCAGGACCCCATTTGATATTGAACTAAAGAGAATGACACTCCTATATGTACACATTGCTTCTTGTGGTTATGACCGTGTCGTTCATACGGATAGAAGCAGATGCTGCAATTTGTGTTATGTTTCCATCTTCTTTCACTGTGTGCAAATCAACCTGATTAATCAACTTATGTACTCGATCAACTAAGTGTATTATTTTTTCTGGGTTAGTTCACCACATTGTTTCATCTAACTGGAAATCACTACCTGGAAATCCAACCTAACTTGAAATCAACCAGAAATTATGCCTGTATAAGACAGCTTGTGGTGACATGATTTCTCATGCTTGTGTTCCATTAGTAGTGCTGAAGCCAACGCACAGTAGTCGGAAAGCTACATATACTTTGCAACGTTTGAATTTCACTGGAATAAAAAAAGAAAACTACCTAACAGGAAAGATGGATATGAAAAGGTTTAGCAAATCAAGAAACTCATCTACCCAGTGCATAAATGGTGTTACAATGACATTCGGAGGATACTGTCAGTGACATACTCAGTGTTCATGAAGATCATTGGAAAGTAACTGTGCATATCAGGAATCACAAAAGGAAGCATGGCAAAAGCTCTAAGTGAGCCTAATGCCTCGTACAAATGGAGGCTGGAAACAGAAGGAATCATCATTAGTAATATGTTACTTACTCCTCTGTCCTGAAGCACTGGCTAGGAAAGACAAATATCTGTGCAGTAAATCTCTGGACCACAAGGTTAGAAAAATATCAGGATGTTGAATGAATGCTGGAATAAACAAAGATCAAAGAATACGGAAGCAGACCTCATGATGCAAGACAAGACTGGAGAAGCGCACAGAAAAATTGTGCCAGGCAAATTCTGTCATTTTTCTACAAAGGAAAAATTACAGACCCACTAATTGAGATTTTAATTTTAATGATAGCATCCAACATCTTTCCTGTCTTCTAAAAGAATTTGGGTGTCACAAGCAACACCTCAGCTTTGCTTTTATTCATGCAGTATTTAAACTCAAAAGAGGCAGTAGCAACTAAGGAAAAATTAAAGGTAATAAAGATCTAATCAAATTTTGAGAAAAACGTAAGTTAAAAAAAGAAAGTCAGCAGCCCTGTTTTTATGTATTTTACGAAAGCACCCTCCACCACATAAGAGTTAAACCATTATAATATTTATGTCAAAATAACCCCCACAGACTCCCAATCTTACTATATTATTTTCCATTTATGACACTGCCTATAACAGCTATGTGACTTTGCTTTTACTGAGCACTGCATTCTTAGTGGACACAGGCCACTTTAAGAAGTTGCTTGATTCATGGATTTTTTTGAAGTCCAAAGGAACAATTATGAACTTTTATTCTGACCTTCTGTAATACATAGACTATGAAATGTCACTTCTGAATTACTTCACCAAGCTCGTCACGTATGTCTTTGCGCTGACAAAAAGAATGGCATATGAAAAGTGTCAAATAGCCTTATGTCAAAACCTTTATGTCAGAAACCCCCCCCACGGACTCCCAATCTTACTACATTATTTTCCATTTATGACACTGCGTACAACAGCTATGTGACTTATGTTTTCCTGAGTACTGCCTTCTTAGTGGACACAGGTCACTTTTCTTAAAGATGCTTGATTCATGTATTTTTTTTTAGTTCAGAGGAACAATTATGAACATTTATTCCAACCTTGTGTAATACACAGACTATCAAATGTCACTTGTGAATTACTTCACCAAGCTCATCACTTCTGTGTTTGCACTGACAAAAAGAACGGCATATGAAAAGTGCATTTGTAAAGACCCATCCATACGAGCCTTAGCAAGGTGCGCAACATGGTCTCTCACATGACCTTGACAACTAGCTGGTAGGATATAGACTGGACATATGGAGCACCTACAGGTGGAGAACTGGCTGAGATGTTGAGCTTGAAAGGTCGTAGTTAATAGCTCAAGGCCAGATTGTCATCTTGTCCTGACTGGAGCGCCTCAGGGGTCAGTCCTAGACCTGATACTAATCACTATATTTTTTAACAGTTTAGAAAATGGTATTGAAAGCACCCTCACCAAGTTTGTGGATGATGGTAAAAAGGGAGAAGAGGTAGATATGCTGGAAGAAAGAGCTACCTTACAGAGAGACCTCAAGAGGCTGGAAAATTCGTACAACAGGTGTTGCAAGAGGTTTAATAAAGAGAAGTGCAAAGTACATCCTGGAAGAAAGCAGTCACAAGCATTCGTACTGGCTGGGAATTGAGAGGCAGGAGTGTATCTTCGCTGAAAAGGACTTACAGATGCAAGAAGACAGCAAGCTGAACATAAGTAAGTAGCCCATCCTTGCAGCAGGAAAGCTAACTGCAGGCTGTATCAGCAAGACTATAGCCAACAGAGCAAGAGATAT